GGAGATGAAGAAAGTCGTGGATAGATGGAATCAGTGCAGACTTAAGCTTCATGGCTTCTCCTAGGTAGAGTATTCTAATTCCCATTGCACAACATCTTGCTCGCTCTCTCTCCAGGCCAAGGCAGAATACACAAGGTAGGCTACAGCAAGAGCTCCATCAGACATGATGAGCTCCACACCCCACATAGTAAAAGGGCATCTTAAAGGGCTCAACTTTCCTCAGCTGTGAGATGCAAGGTGAGAGGGAGGATACTGGGAGGAGGGAGCTGCCCCACCCACAGAGATCTCTGATCTCATTTCTTTTCCTAATAAGGATATGCACACACCTCCCAGGACTATCATTGCCATGACAACAGAAATTGAGGGTGAGCGGGTTAGTGGAACTGCGAGTGAGCTGAGTGTGATTTCCAAATTCTCAAACAAGGCCCGAGGCTGCACTTGCTCACAAAGTGGAAAAATTCATGTTGGCAGTTCTAAATAGATTCCAAAATATTAAGGCTCAGGAGTTCTTTCTGGGGAAGAGTCAGAGGTGGAGTCTCCGTGGAGGCCCTCCGTGGGGAGTTGATTTTCTCAGAGGGGTAGGAATCTCTAAGACAATTAAGAGCCCGAACCCCCCTTTAAAAGTAGGACACATAAACTCTGTCCATTTCCCACAGAGCAAAGAGATGTGGCAAACCAGGGCAACAACATCCCCCAAGGACACAAAAAAGACAGGCGCTTTTAAAAAATATTTTGTATGGTACAGCCTTTCCACAGAAATAACTCAGAACAACTCAGACCTATATTCTGAAGCTAAAGGATAGACCTGTACCTTGAAAAATCATTGATATAGTTACCATTTACACACACGCTCTATAATATGTGTGTATTATCTCATTTAATTCTTACAACAACCCTATAAAGCAGACAAGGCTATTATCTCTATTTTACAGAAGAAGAAACTGGAATAAAAATTTTTTAAAAAAAGCAATGGTCCCAGGGACATACAACTGCTGAGTGGCAGAACTAGAATCCAAAGGGGAGTTACTCTGACCCACAGCCTGAGCTCTTAGTGATTCTCTCTCTGATATGGAAAAAGGCATCCTGTTTCTTGCAAGAATCTTAAGCTGATGCTTCCTTGCACAGTTTCTGAGCTTGCAAAGATATTAGACAACTTCGAGGATATTTAATCTTGACTCTCTAGACCAGTTCTTAAACTTTAGGGCCCATCAGTATCTCATGGAGGGCTTGTTAAAGATAGATGGCTGGGCCCTACCCTGAGAGTTTCTGGCTCAGTAGGTATTGTTAGAGCTGCTGCTCTGGGAACCATCCTGTGAGAAACACTGCCTAGCCCCTCTCTAAACTAAGGTTCTCTAAGCCTCACTGCCTTAGTTGCCTCACCTACCTAACTAATCTTTCACTGTTCGGTCCTGGATCCCCTGGGGTGTTACTTGACAACCTATAAAGTTATCCTTGGTAGTACTGTGTGTTTGGGAATTCCCTGAGCTCTTTTGAAAATAGTGAATAGCTCCTACTCCAAAAATAATTTACTTTTGCCTTAGGTAAGTCCTGAGATCCCATGAAATGTAGAAAGAGGAGCCTGGATGAACCAGTGGGAGATGGCAAAGTAGGCTGGCACCCTGAAGCCAGACCAGCTCTCGAAGGGAGGGGCAGTTTTGTTTGTGTTTTTTTGTTTTGTTTTTACAACCTCTTGGGATTTCCTCTAGGAACTAGTCACAAAAGGGTAATCATTAAAACCTCTTCAGAGCATTCACATTAAGAAAGTTAGAGTTGTGAACGTGAATGACTGGCCCTTTAATGCCCCTCTCCTCAAAACACATTCCTCCACTTGGAGAAGAGACTGTAGCTATATGCCTACATTCCCTATTTAGCCATTTTCTTTCTCTGCTCAGTCTCACAGGAACCTGAGTAAAAGTAAGAAGCCAGCCGGCCATGTCTGCTTACACAGAGAGCCTGGAGAAAGGGGCCAGTAATCAGGATTAATGGATTTAATGCCTGAGTTGTTTATCTTGCAGGAAACATCACCTGTGATGTCCCCATTGATCCCTTCAGAGCAGGGCTTTTGTGGACTATGTAAATAAATGAGCAGTTTAGAGACAAAGCAAAGTAACTCATCAGTGGAGGAAAAACAACTGCAAGGAACACATGTGAATGAGGATCCCAGCACAGCAGGTCCCTCTCCCTTAATGCCATGCCTGCAGCTGCTGTGTGTGCTATCAGAAGATGCTGGTTCATGAGGTCTCAGACACAAGTGTAAGGCGACTCAGGAACCAGGAGGAAGCCTTTTGGAGCAGCTGCACCTTCATCATGAAGCACTGAAGGACAACAGAAGCAATGAAAGGCAGGCTCTACTAGAAACAGCCAAGCTTTTTGAAGCATTTTCCTTTTCTTTCTTTTATTTATTTATTTTTTACAGAGAGGAAGGGAGAGGGACAGAGAGTTAGAAACATCGATGAGAGAGGAACATCGATCAGCAGAATTAATAAATCCCTCTCATTTCATCCCCACGAGGGTGGCTAGGGATGAATGGACTATATAGATGTTAGTATGATCCAAAAACTACAGAGTGTCTGTTTCTGGGCCTAGGAATGAGAACTATTGAATTCTGGCTACCAGGTTGTCAGCCAAGTCCAGCCACATCACAGATTGCTCAAAAGTATCCCAGAAAAAAAAAAGGAGTAAAAAGATTAGACATCTATTAATATTATATGTCAAGCACTATATTCAGCTGTTTATTCTTACCATGGCAACTCGATAAGATAGGTGTTATTTTTATACCCAATTTATAGGATAGGTAATTAGGAAAACATGAATTTAAGCAATTTGCTTATGCTCACCCAGCAAGTAAGTTTGGAATTGTGGTGCAATTCAGATCTGATGCCACATCCTAATCTTAATCTTTATGCCATATTCCCTCCAAACAGTGCAAAACATGTTTTGAGTCCTAAAACCTAAGAGTACCAAAGGACAGAGCAGAAGGCAGAGGAATATCTCTTTAACTTAGATCTTTGGTACGGAGAGATGTTGAAAAGTATGGTTAGGTTACCCATGGAGTATCTGGAAGATGTAAGCTCTGTCCAGCTCAGTCCATGAGGACTGTGACTCATGAGTCAGCAGCTAAGCACAGTCCTGGAGAAAGGGGATTACACAAGAGGGATTGAGACAGTAGGGAAGGGGAGTAATGGAAACTCCTTCCCTATCTTCTGACAAGAAGATGGGTTCCTAAAATTCTTTTGAATCTGAAGGAGAGACCTGAGCCATATGCAAATGAAATCAGTACACAGTCCCTATTTCACATTTGCCTAGGCATATACATCCACCAGCATCATCAATGAAAAGAAGAATGTATTCAAAATTAGTTCTTGGCTCACCAGTCTGATCTATGAGAACAAGAAAAGCCCTGACATGAAGGTAGCAGGGCATGACTTCATGTGGCTGCTTTGATTGGATAGTTCTCACCTTTCCAGAGGCCTCCCTATCTTGCAACACTTGACAGTCTAAACCCACCTGCTCATCCATCACTTCTTCACTCCATCATTGGCATTGGGGCTACAGATTTGTCAATGAATATTCGTCTCTTGCCACCTGGCAATATTAGCTCTCTAATGAATTGCTTTAACTTGTGCATTTGTTTTTTTAACAAATGTGACTTTTAGTTAAATTATGCAACATTCATAAATAGCAAATGCTGGCTGATTAGAATCAATGAAAGGCCTTAGAGTTGCCAGCAAAAATGGGCCCTTAACTGCACATGTTACTTAGATAGCTTAATCATTTGAAAGGATCTGAGTATTTTTGGAAAGTACTTTTTACACACAAACTTATGTCATCTATTATGTATGTGAGTGTGTATTTGAATTTGGATAAATTTTTGCAAGCCAGCCATGCTCTGAATATAAGTGCTAGATACACTTGGCTATGAAGCAAGACACACTTGGGTTGGATTCTACTTCTGCCACATGAACCTGGGTGTGTTTCTTAACCTCGCTGTGTCTCTAGCTTCTCATATGTGAAATCGATATACTAAATCCCCTGCAAGATTGTCATGACAAATAAATGAAATCACACATGTAATGTGCTTGGCACAGAGTCTGGGTATATATGGCTCAATAATTTATTAACTATTATCATCATCATGATGTTCTATTCATAGAGGATTATGGAAGACACCATTTGCAATCTCCATAACTCTTCCTTTCTGAAAACTTCCACAGGAATGAGCCTCCAAAGCCATCTTTTAATTATATAACACTGCTTTAGTGATTGGGTAAGAATAAGGAAACTAAGGAAATGTGACTTGATTCAACCTGGCGATCCTTTTTCTTGAAAATGTGAATTAGGAATTTGTCTCCATTGGTCCTCTGAACTAAGAAACTATGAGGCAGTCATGTGTGGTAATGTGTATTGTATGTTAAGGCGGTAAAGGTCAGTCTACAGGATGATGTAGTTGCGCAGAAAGAAGCAGATCCGACTTTGACTTTAAGTCAGAGAGTGGTGCCTTGCTTCTGATAACTTTCTACTGTCATGAAAAACCCCATTCCATCTATCTACCTATCTATCTTTCTATCTATCTATCTATCTATCTATCTACCTACCTACCTACCTATCTATCATCTCCCTTTTGCTCACTACTTTGAATGGGTTTCCATGGTCTTCAACCAAAAGATCTTTGCTCCCAGTGTCATTTTTGCACATGAAGCCACCAAATTTCTGTGAAACTTGGAGAAGCTAAACATTTGAAAGTTACCTGATTATTTTAGAAAATCACACACACACACACACACACACACACACACACACACACACACACTTTATGTTATCTGTTTTTAACCCCTGAAGGACATTAAGTAGAAAATCAAAATAACCATGTATGTAAGGAAGTCATACATGTAAGGAAAAGGAAGAATAAATAGAGAGCCATTAACAATCCTGGTCTTACAAAAACAGGTTACCTTATCGCTTTCCAGAACCCAAACAAGGGAGAGACCCTGGGTCTTTACCTGGAGTTGCACTGGATACTGTTGGCCATTGCTGATCAGATCCTCCTGGTCCCGCCCGTAGAATGCCAGCCTCCTCCAGGTGCACGGAGCTGAGTAAACACATAGACCCAAATAACAATTAGACCACAAATGTCTTTCCAAATCTCATTCCACCCTCGGAAAGTGCTTATACATCTCTGGAGACAGGGCTACAGCTAACACATTCTACTCATGCTCGAACAGAAGCAATTACTGCTGAGCAGTCACCTTGCAGAAACTGCAAAAGCATTGCTGACTTACTGCCTGCTATATTTAGGCAATAAGCATGTTTTACTTTTATGGGAATTTTGGTCTTCATTAATGCCATGGTCTTCATTTAATCTAACTGGAAACCCATTGGAGGGCTAATGCTGTTTTAACATCTTAATGCTGAAGCAGGTGAGGAGAGCTTGTTCTCAAAAGCCCCCAAGCCTCTCTTGCTGGTTCTCTTGTTTCTAAATTCTCTATAGCAATGGTTCTCAACCTTCCTAATGCCGCGACCCTTTAATACAGTTCCTCATGTGGTGACCCCCAACCATAAAATTATTTTCGTTGCTACTTCATAACTGTAATTTTGCTACTGTTATGAACTGTAATGTAAATATCTGATATGCAGGATGTATTTTCATTGTTCGTGAAGAGGAAAACACACACAAATTATTTGCTGATAAGTGTAATATTGTTCCAGTTTGGCTACCCAATTAATTCTTTTTTTTAATGAATTACTTTTCTTCTTCTTTTTAAAAATATATGTTTATTGATTTCAGAGAGGAAGAGAGAGGGAGAGAGAGATAGAAACATATAAACATCAATGATGAGAGAGAATCATTGACCGGCTGCCTCCTGAACACCCCGAACTCGGGATCGAGCCCACAGCCCAGTCATGTGCCCTTGACTGAAATAGACCCTGGAACCCTTTAGTCCATAGGCTGATGCTCTATCCACTGAGCCAAACCAGCTAGGGCTACCCAATTAATTCTTAACCTTATATTTGTTTTACCCTTTCTGTATCATTTAAAAAATATTTTTGTTGATTTTAGAGAGGAAGGGAAAGGAAAAGAGAAATAGAAGCATCAATAATAAGAGAGAATCATTAATTGTCTGCCTCTTGCATGCTCCCCACTGGGGATGGAGCCAGGCAACCTGGGTATGTGCCCTGCCTGGGAACTGAACCGTGATCTCCTAGTTCATAGTCAACGCTCAACCACTGAGCCAATCTGGCCAGGCTTTTTCTGAATCATTCATTCATAGACGACCCAACCTACATTTAGGGACTAGAGGAAGCTTAACACCACCTCTCATGGGTCCCAGTTCAGAAGAGATCAATTCAGCCTGAAATATGGCAAGGAGTGAGACATGAACTGGGAGACTATTAGAAGCAAGTGGAGATAGAACATAAACTGCTCAAGAGTGGAGAGAACAGTGTAGTCATTTGTATATATCTAATGCTAACACATATTAGACTTTCAAATATTAGTAGGATGAATGAAGAAAGAAAGGAACAAATGGGACCCTAAGGGTAAATATCATCCAAGAAAATCCTCACCAATATTAAAGGACTCTTTTAAACTAGACATTCATTAATTTTGCACGTTAAGTTGCTAAAATAAAACTTACACTACTGTTTGAAGGGTTGTATGAGGCAACAGAACAGGCAAACTTGAACTATTTGGGAGAAGGGCATCTACAAATTTAATATTCTCTTACTCTTTGGAAAATCAATTATTAGGCTCTGACCTGTTGCTATTATTCCCTTCATCTACAACCCTAGAATCTTCTCTTTTTTTCCAAATATTAATATCCTTCAGGTGTTCCTAGATTTAAGTTATATGGGTTCAATCAGATTCATTCTGAAGATGTAACTACCCTAGAACCAGCTCAGCTCAAAGCAGAATTTTCAAAGGAATAGTAACATGATGCCTGAAGCTGAAAAGGCCACGAAGCCAAGCACATGTATAAAAAAGATGCATAATTCTAATATATGGTTAATGTACTACATTGTGAGTAAAAACTTACATTTAGCTTTATTTCATTTTCATCCTACTTAAATCTATATCTTAATTGAAACCTGAATAGGAGCATATTTGACTTTTTTCATTTAAAAATGGGATAAGGGTGTGATATGTTTTAGTATTTCAATTTAAGTGTAACTTTTAAAATATATCTCATCACTTGGTACTTTTCAAGTAAAGCACTAATTCAATAAGGAAAGAGTTCATATGGTAAACCATGCTTTTTCCTATTGCATAGCTCCAACACAATAGGGAAAAGCATAGCTGGTCTCTAACAAACACAAAAAATCCTTCTGATATCTACTCTATGGCCTCTGCATAAATGTTTTGGGCCTAAAATTATGACCCAGGTTCCAATGTAACATCTCACCAAGTCAACTACCAATGTTCAGCCCTTCACTCATTGCTTCTCATTCAGAAATAGCAGCCAGTATAATTTCTGCTCAATCTTTAATGTTATGCTTAAGAATATATTAATTTATTTTAATTTAATGCATTTTTAATAGACTAAAACTAATTTTTCATTAACTCAACATATACTTTGCATGCTCTGTCTTTAAAAATTGAGGTAGGTTTGGTGAAGATCAACTTAAGAGCTGCCCAGAGCCCAGCCAGCATGGTTCAGTGGTTGAGCGTCTGTGGGAAACCGCCTATTGTCTTCTCTAGCAGAGAGGTGTGGACAAGGAGCCCAGAATGCTGGTGACCCTGAAGCCCTGGCAAAGGTCAGAGCTGTGCACCCACTGTTTAGTTCAGACAATGGTAGCTGAAGCAACTTCCCCACCAGATAGTCATGTAAATCCTTACTGATAAGATAGTCAGTCTGTTACTGGAATTTGCCTGCCTAAGGGCTATAGGTGTATCCCAAACTAAATAAAAGGATGGCAAGGCCTGAACAAAAGTGGAGTCCATCCTCTTGGGATGGGCTCTCGCCTGGCCCCCCAATTTCCAAATTATTTTCTGTCTCAACTCTTTCATTTGTGTGCACCCCCTCTTCCAGATCCTGAACCCTGAACTACACAGGATGTGGGGGAACATTCACATCTGGCACCTCAATAGGACATCTGGAAGAGAAGACTTCATCTAGAGTGAAAAAACGAAGATTCACCGTATAGATGGGGGAGAATTCACCAGATAGGTGGGCACACCGTACAGGTGGGGAGATATTTCACCGCACGCAAAGCCCATGATCAGCTGCAGAATTCGCAATCTGTAAGTAGGGTAGGAACGTGTCTTTCTAGCCAGGCTAATGGGGCAGAATTCGGCTTAAAATATATTTGATGGTCTTTCCAAGTTAAATTTCAAGGCTATAACCAAGGAATGATTTTTGGAAAACTCCAAGGGCCTGGAGTGATTCAAGAATTTGTTCTCTCTTCTTAAAGGAAATATTTTTGAATTTAGCCGATTTAATATACTTGAAATTGCATGGAAAGCTTTCTAAAATAAAAATTAATAACTACAGTTTACTTATATTTTAAATGTTATGAAGATTTTGGCCTCTAAGAAGGGCAAAATAAAGTAACAATATATTTCTTAAATACAGCCAAATTTTTCAGATGGAATTTTAAAAGACCCCAGCCCATTTTTATTTTTGAATAGTCGATTGGGAATATACTAAAATTCTAGAGAGAGGCAGATCCTGAACCAGGGATAAAAGACACTGCTTTGGTAATTTTTAATGCTGGACATTCTCTGGTGTAAACTTTTAGTGTATTCTGCGCACCTGTATAAGAGTGTTGATGTTTTTGTGTCTCTTTGTTGTTGTTCAGTTTATTTAAAGAAGAGGCCCGCTGTGGCACAATGAAGGTGAAGGCCCGCCAGGGCCGAGGTGGGATCCCGAGGCCTCTCCAGTCTGCCGAGGGCACACCACCAGCCGGTCTCGCCCACCGCACCGGGGAGGTGGAGCATGAGCACACGTGCTAGGACCCAAAAGATGGTGAGCTATGCCTGGGAAGAGCGAAGCCAGAGGAAACTCTTGTGGAAGTCCGTAGCCATCCTGACGTGCAAATTGGTCATCCGATCTGGGTATAGGGGCGAAAGACTAATCGAACCATCTAGCACAGGGGTGGGCAAACTAATGGGTTCTTAAACTGGACCGGAGGGCCGGAACAAAAGCATGGATGGAGTGTTTGTGTGAACTAATATAAATTCAAAGTAAACATCATTACATCAAAGGGTACGGTCTTTTTTTTTTTAGTTTTATTCATTTCAAATGGGCCGGATCCGGCCCACGGGCCATAGTTTGCCCACAGCTGATCTAGTAGCTGGTTCCCTCCGAAGTTTCCCTCAGGATAGCTGGCACTCTCGCAGAAAAAAAAGAAAAAAAAAAGAGGCAAGCCCCGCTTCGATTGGGAATATACTAAAATTCTAGAGAGAGGCAGATCCTGAACCAGGGATAAAAGACACTGCTTTGGTAATTTTTAATGCTGGACATTCTCTGGTGTAAACTTTTAGTGTATTCTGCGCACCTGTATAAGAGTGTTGATGTTTTTGTGTCTCTTTGTTGTTGTTCAGTTTATTTAAAGAAGAGGCCCGCTGTGGCACAATGAAGGTGAAGGCCCGCCAGGGCCGAGGTGGGATCCCGAGGCCTCTCCAGTCTGCTGAGGGCACACCACCAGCCCGTCTCGCCCACCGCACCGGGGAGGTGGAGCATGAGCACACGTGCTAGGACCCAAAAGATGGTGAGCTATGCCTGGGAAGAGCGAAGCCAGAGGAAACTCTTGTGGAAGTCCGTAGCCATCCTGACGTGCAAATTGGTCATCCGATCTGGGTATAGGGGCGAAAGACTAATCGAACCATCTAGCACAGGGGTGGGCAAACTTTTTGACTCGCGGGCCACAATGGGTTCTTAAGCTGGACCAGAGGGCCGGAACAAAGGCATGGATGGAGTGTTTGTGTGAACTAATATAAATTCAAAGTAAACATCATTACATAAGTGGAGGTCCGTAGCGGTCCTGACGTGCAAATCGGTCGTCCGACCTGGGTATAGGGGCGAAAGACTAATCGAACCATCTAGTAGCTGGTTCCCTCCGAAGTTTCCCTCAGGATAGCTGGCACTCTCGCAGAAAAAAAAGAAAAAAAAAAGAGGCAAGCCCCGCTTTGGGGAAGCCTAGCTGTGTGTGGTGGGGTTGAAAGCGTGAGAGAGATTGCAAGAAAGTCCCAGCAGTTGCCAAGAATTCTTAATCTTGGGGGCTCTTCTTGCTCTCCCTCTCAGGCTTCAGCCACCAGAAACAACTAGTGAGATTTCTGTTTGTCTGCAAGATAATGTTGGCTGTCTATCTCTTAGAGATTTTGGTTTGCTCTTCCCTTGTTTATTGTGAGGATAAACAAATCATCTTTTCTGTCAAAGAACAGTTTAGGCAGCTGCCATTTTGGACTGCCTGATTTGGCAGTCGCCATGTTGGCCACATGGCTTACCGCTCCCCTGGGGGCCGCCATCTTGAAACAGCAAAGGCTAATTCCCTTTGAATTAGCCAATCAGGAGAGACCGTGTGCCTGAGCTCCAATCAAGAGCAAGGGACAGGTCACATGCGTTGTTAAGGCACTCTGCTTCAGAAAGGAACTTGCAAAGATTCAGAGCCAAGTTCAAACAGGAAACTTTCAGGTAGGGTAGCATGTGTCCAGTCAGGGACACCAGGCAAGCCAAGAGTCAGGATCCCCCGTGGGGGCATCTGCCAGTGATACTCTGTGTATTTGCATTTCACAGATTGGGAGTTTATGAATTATTTTCAATGCTCAATACACTGCTTGCAATAAGCCATGTGCCTCATTTTAAAATTTTACATATTATTTA